ATATGAAGGCAATGGCTAACAGCAACTCAGCTACAGCAACCACGAGGCCTTAGGCAGCAACTGCGCATGCGCAAGTCTCACACCGCTGGCCAGCACTCCACTCCCAGTTAACTTTGCTTAAATTTAACCACATTTAGTAGACCAGAATTCCATAGTTTTCTATTATGTCCATTTCACTATTACCCGTTGACTAAAATTTTTTATTTCCAAGTTTAAATGTCTTCACTCTATGTTCCACTGACCCTTATTTTCTAAATTTCCCTTAACTCCTCCCCCCCCTCTTTCCCCAAAAAAGTCAATCATTCAAATGAATCCATCCATTTTACCCATTCCCTGATAGAACAATAAGCTTCAAGGCAAAAATTTAGAATTCAAAAGATTTTTCAATGAAAAGCAAATGCTGTATATCCCAGTCAATAAATGCTTTTCTCTATTACCAGGTATTCATTTGACCAAGAAGGAGATGCAGTACAACATTAGACCTCTACTGAGACTAGTCTGTAAGAGATTCTTTGGAGACTTCACAGGTAGGCAGGCACCTTAACTGTTGATCTTCATCTGCACCCTACTGGCTTGTGCATTCCTTGTATACATTATCATAATTATATTATAGGAATACAAAGCATATTACAGGGTTCGTACGGGTTTTGGAAAGTCTTGGAAAGTCTTGGAAATCAATAATGCATTTTTCCAGGACCTGGAAAGTTTTGAAAAATTTCTTTTTCAACCACTGGGCTATGGAAAAGTTATGATTTTTTTCTGTTGGTTGCCCAGGTTCTACCTTGCAAAGACGATAAAGACAATCTGCACTGATTTATAGTATGAATGTTCAACAGAACTCTTAAGTTGTAGTTGTCGAGATTTTTTGTGAAGTAAACAGAGAAATAAATGTTAATATGGTGCCATATTTTGTATTTGTTTGTATGTTGAATGTTTTTCATCCATGAATTTCACTTTATTTTTTTGCTTATGTGGTTTTGGAAATTTTAGTTGATGGGCTTTGAGAAACTTTTGGAAAAGTTTTGGAAATTTTCACTGAGGAATCTGTACGAACCCTGATATTATAATACCCATAAGACATTTACTTGTAAAATCCAGTTTAACTTAAATTCCTGCTTTTCTTAATTCTCATCAAGAATGATTTATTGTTTAATGTTCTATCTTCAATTTGTCTGTTGCTCAGGGTGCTTATGCATACTGCATTGTTTTCTCATGTTGTCCTAGCAATGGACCTATTTTCCCATTACAGACCACATGTCATTCCCTAGAAATAAGATTATTTGTTTAAGTTGCATCCACATTCATGTGTCTTCTCATGTGCAACCATTAAACAAAGAAATAATACTCTAGGGAATGACACGTGGTCTGTAATGGGAAAACATTGCATCACCACAAATGAGGTTGAAATGAATTGTGCTGGAGTAAAAAAAAWATCAGAATATATTACGTCCATTGGTCTGTTTTCAAAGACAGAAGTTTATAAACATTTGGATCTAATGTTTTTGATGTTCTAAGACTGTGTTGTTGAGCTGCCAATAGTTTATTTAATTTTAATTTGTTCTTTTTAGGATTTGTTGATGTGTGTGTTCATCATATTGCTTCACCAAAGGCCATGGCAAGGACAAAGGTCTGTAAAGCAAGACTGGGATTTTTGATTATTTTATTTTTTGTACTTGGTATTTTTTTGCTGCAGTTTTAAATATTCTGCAAACTCWGATTTTTTTTCCTTTGCTGCTGTCACTCAAAAATAATCCTTCATTACCATTTAATATGTTCTTGACTGGCAGCAGTGAAAAATAAATTTCACAACAAGCCGTTGAAATGTCTGAGTTCACAGAATATCCAAAACTGCAGTAATTGAAGATGAATACTCGTCTCCTCTCCTCTATCCCGCTTTCCTTGACTTATCTTGTTTGTGTTTGTCAGGTCAACCATACTTATACAGGACCTTTGGACTCAGATATTGTAGATTCTATGTATGATTGTAATGCTGAGGTAGGTTTTACACAAGTTTAATAACTGTGTTATAGAGCACTGTAGAGTTTCACTTACCATTGATTGTGATTGGCTAAGCATCATCATCATCATCATAATGTATCATTGTCATTATGTATCATCATGTATTATCATCATAATAATTTATCAGCATCTATATACAGCGTCATCTATTTTATCATCATCATCAACTTCATCATGTGTCATCATCATCATGTATCTGTATCATCTTCATCATCATGTAATCAGTATCACGTACAACAACTTGTACAGCATCATCTATCTTCATCATGATCATCATCAGCCTAAGCATCGTCTATTATGACCATCATCATCATGAGTTATGATCCTAATCATTGTTCTTATTCGTTCAGGGTACTCTGATGGTGCACACAACCAAACAGTACCCATCCAATGATGCTACAGCCTTTCATGTGTTTGGTCGTGTTATGAGTGGCACACGTAAGTATTAGATTCAAAATACCTTGTTTAAAAGCAAATCAATTAACCATAAAAGGTCTGTAATGTTATTTTTTTCTCTTGGTAGTATATGCTGGTCAACAAGTGCGTGTCCTTGGAGAAAACTACACAGTGGAAGATGAAGAAGACTCAAGAGTTGGATTGGTAAGTTTAGATTTCCATTCCTCCAGCAGCAGGATGCAGAGCAATTTCTCATGGAAAATGCACACAAAAAGGGCAATATTTTAAGCCTTTTTTTCTAGTTGGATGTTCAAAAATCTCATGCACTTTGATTGACAGCTGCCGGGGAGACACTATGAAACTAATGAGAGTTTTTATATGACTGGGACAAAGTGCCATTATTATCCAGACATTCAAATAAATAGATTCAGTGGATGTTGTCCATCCAGTACCATGACCGTGCTGGATGCCCAGACAATGGAGTAGATGAATATTTAATGGATGTTGTCCATCCAGTACCATGACCGTGCTGGATGCCCAGACAATGGAGTGGATGAATATCCTGAACTTGAGCGTTTTCATAGTCACTGATTTGGGCCTTTTCTTCTTCATCAAGTAGTTTTTAATGTTGTAGTTTATAATATCCCATTATTTTTTTTATTTTTATTTTTTTCATTTTACCCCCTTCAGGTTGGAAGGCTTTGGATCTCTGAAGCAAGGTAATGTCTTTCTTTTCCATACTAAATTCCAATTAGATCAGTCAGAGGTTGTCTTGGGGTTTGATCTTTGAGTTAGCCATATCTGACTTCAATCAGCCCAGAGGTTGTTTTAGGGTTCCATCTTTGAGTTAGCCATATCTGACTTCAATCAGCCCAGANGTTAGCCATATCTGACTTCAATCAGCCCAGAGGTTGTTTTAGGGTTCCATCTTTGAGTTAGCCATATCTGACTTCAATCAGCCCAGAGGTTGTTTCATGCAGGATTCAGTAAAATTTTATTCAAATTGAAAAAATAACATTCTTCAATACAGGTATAAGATTGAAGTCAACAGAATCCCAGCAGGCAACTGGGTCTTGATTGAAGGAATCGACCAGTCGATTGTCAAGACTTCAACCATAACAGAAGTGACAGGAACTGAAGAGGTTAGTTACTTGACTATACTGTCTGTAGAAACTGTGTATCTTAAAGGGCAAGTGTTCTTAGAGAATTTGTTTTATCGAAGGGAGGAGCTCAGAAATTTAGCAATTATTTTTAAACACTGTGTACCAAAGGACGTGTTTCACTAGATCCTGGCATGTTTCACTACAGTAGATTCCTCCATAATCTCGTGAAGTCTTAGCCTATTCTAGTAGAATGGCACCTAAATGCTATTCCAAGAATAGAGAGGAATAAATTAATCGATTGATTGGCTTAAGTCACCTGTTTTGAGGGATGGAGAGCCAGATTACCAGCATTGGCACCCCTTGTRAGGGGTGGTAGCGTGTTATGTTTTTACTGAGGGGATGATAAATGGAGAATCAAGGGAGAGTAACAAAATCTACTCACATGTGATGCTGAGTCCAGGAGTCAGACCCCAGATCCCAGGAGTGAGAGGGGAGTGTACTACTCTAACTGCTACTATTTCGTAGTTATGCCAACCTCTTAACCACCAATACATCTTTACTGTCTTATTTACTGTTTATTTTTTACATCTCTTTAATCCACTTTCTATTGCAGGTCTACATCTTCCGCCCTCTAAAGTTCAACACTTGTTCAACTATCAAGATAGCCGTTGAACCACACAACCCCTCAGAACTACCTAAGATGTTGGATGGGTTGCGTAAAGTCAACAAGAGTTACCCCATACTTACTACCAAGGTAACGTGATAAAAATACCAATATAACAGGTGGTCAAACAACAAAAACAATAAAAACAATATCAAAAGCAGCAGCAACTGCAACATCAGTAGCAACAGCACCAGCTACGACAATAGCAGCAGCAGCAATAATGGCAGCAATGGCAACAACAACAGCAGCAACAACTGCAACAGCGACACGCCATTACCACCACCAACAAAATAACAACAACACTACCACCATCAACAACAGCAGCACTAACAACAGCAACAAATTTCTAAAATTCTTTCAAATGTTGTTGAAGTCCACGCGAATTTAATTTCCAATATAATAAAATAATAAATATCGTTTTTTTGCTACAGGTGGAAGAATCAGGGGAGCATGTTATTCTAGGCACAGGTGAACTCTACCTGGATAGTATCATGCACGATCTACGAAAATTATACTCTGAAATAGGTAAGATATCTGTTTATATAATATTCCTTTTTACAGTTCCGTTTAGTGACCACAACTAATAGTTCCAAGTCGAGGTTGGAGTTGCCATGCGTAATAAGCTTTGCTATGCGAGGCAACTCCAACATCAACTTTGGAACTGTTATTCGTGGTCATTAAACAGAACTGTAATTAAGGAGAATTAGGAAAAATGCCATAAGGGCGTGGAGAAAAAACTTCGGCCTTTATTGCTGTGGACGTTTGAAAGGCGCATACTCACACTGCGATGCTGCTTGCAAGTTAGATCTGTCGCACTGTGTGTTTACCATGCCCAGTTGTGTGACATTTCTTAAACCTTGGTTTCCATTCCTTCAGACATCAAGGTAGCAGACCCTGTAGTTGCCTTCTGTGAGACAGTAGTAGAAACCTCTTCTCTCAAGTGTTTTGCAGAGACACCGAACAAAAAGTAAGTCAAGTTCGTGTGTTGCCTTCAGCTCAACCACCAATTGCCCTAATTCACTATGACGTCACATCAAAACAATCTTCAACAATCTATTGTTTAAACGCAAAGGATCATGGTCGTCGGACGTCTTCAATCCACGAAGAGAAATAAAATAGCCAGCAAACGCTCAGAATATTATTTAGTGCATATTAACACATATTATACCTGGAAACCAGGCCATTTTAGATTAAACTGTTTCGCTAGGAGCAAATTTTGTTGAATTTTCGATTGGATTTGGCGATTCTATCCCCCACATAAACAAGCAGTGACGTCATAGTGAATTAGTGCAATTCACCATATAACCTTTCCTTTTATGTAGGAATAAAGTCACTATGATCGCTGAACCACTCGAGAAAGGTTTAGCTGAAGACATCGAGAATGAAAAAGTCCTCATCACGTGGAACAAGTAAGATATTTTTACGGAATTAATTTGAAATAGTCCTTGCTAATTACTCAAGCTTCCTGTGAATGCCTGAGGTGATATTTTTGTCACAAATTTTCCTTTGGGGCCAAATGGTAAAAAGACAGGAAACTTTGACTTTCGAAAAATGGTACACGCATGCGCTCTGCCGCTGAGCTGAAAACGATGGCTCATTCTTTAGCTATTTGTGAGAATATTGTGTACATCGTTTGCTTTGCTTTTCTTCTAGCGATTAGTAATCCCTTGGGACACTGAATTATAAATATTTCTCTGTTTTATTTTTCCTAGGAAAAAGCTTGGTGAATTTTTCCAGACCAAGTATGACTGGGATTTGTTAGCTGCTCGATCTATCTGGGCCTTTGGACCCGAGAATACTGGACCAAACATCTTGGTCGATGATACTCTTCCTTCTGAGGTACGAAAACTAATACATAGATCCCTGGGTTGTCTTGATCACCAATACTGGTATGTTTCCCAGAACCCCTATACCATACACCCCTAGGTCTTACATTGTACGTTGTATATGTAATGAATCATGGGTAGTGTGAGCAGTTGATGTGGTGCCTGATGATGTATCTGCTATCTTCACAGGTGGATAAGAGTCTGTTAAACACTGTTAAAGACTCCATTATACAGGGTTTTCAGTGGGCAACAAGAGAAGGACCTTTGTGTGATGAACGTAAGTAGAAGCGTGATCCATTCATGCCGTCTCATCACATCCATTCATCTCATTCATCCTATCCCTTCACTCCAATCCCATCACTACCATTTCATCTATCCAAGCTATTCCATTCCATTCATCTTGTCCTGTCACTCCAATCCCATTACTCACATTTCATCTATCCCAGCTATTCCATCACATCTATTGATGACATTCATTCACTCATTATGCGATCTAATTCTATCCAACCATCCATCCATACCCTCCCGTCCCGTCCCGTCCATCTTATACAACCTTTCCACTCAACCGTCCTGCTTCATCCTTTCAACTTTGTTTCATTTCATTCCTATTCATTCCCTTCCTTTTTTCTGTTCTTGAAATAATATTTTCTTGATCCTTGTGTGAGACTTTTCATTGTTTATATCTACTTTTCTTCAAAATTCTTTCAGCTATTCGTAACGTCAAGTTCAAGATTCTCGATGCAGTCATTGCTGGTGAACCCATCCATCGAGGTGGTGGTCAGATCATCCCTACATCCCGTAGGGTCGCATATTCAGCGTTTCTCATGGTAAGAAGCCAGTAGAATCGTTTGATAGTGATAGTGACCTTAAGATCTACGACGGCGACGTCAACTGGAAGTGTAAATAATTTCTCTTTGGGGTGCTGTTCATTGGAGATTTCATTCAAAACATTGTCAGTAAAATCAACTCATCCACACACAAAAAACAGACACTCCAAAGTGAAGCTATTTACTCTTACGGTTGACGTCGCTGTCGTAGATTTTGAAAAAATTAAGCGCTCTCTAAATACAGCGAGGCGCTACTAAGGCTACCGTAATCTACATTTGCCGAGAAAGGCTCGAGTGACCTCATTTTCCCTGCAAAAACTCCAATGACGATTTTGCGGCAATGATGTTACTCATGTTCAAAGTCCCTTTATAAAAGCTGCCCCATAAATAATGTTATGCCCCCTCGTATGTGGTCTTCCTGTGGTTTTCTAAACGCCGTTTTTCTGGTTTCAACAGGCCACACCACGCTTGATGGAGCCGTACTTTTTTGTCGAAGTTCAAGCTCCTGCTGACTGTGTATCTTCGGTGTATACGGTGCTCGCACACAGAAGGTTAGTCTAGGCCTGAAAACCCACCTTCGAGACGTCTGGGGGTTTGGCTTCTGTCAATCAGTTTTCCATTTTTCTGAATTGGTCAAGTAATGATAATGGGTGTAGTAGCATTTCGGTGTGAGTACGTTGTTGTTGTGATACATCTACCAACTTTAAGAAACTGAGAATTCACTAGGCAGTTTACATGATGGCATCATTTTACTACCACTTGGCGAATTTTCTTTCTTATTTAAATTGGTATTTCCTCATGAGAATAGTGAGACAATTGGTGCTAATTAACTGAACAAAAGAAAGTGTGCAAGGGATTGATTCTCTATACTGGTAGTAAAAAAAAGGACAAAATAACTTTGTTTCAAACGACCCTTTTTTTAAAATTAATGTTAATATGTGAGGGACTACTGTAATTGGCACACACGCTGTAGTGGTTTCCCAGCCATTATGTATGTATGTAATTATTCTCGTGCGTGTTAGTGTGTGTGTGTGTATGTGTGAGTGGGTTCATGTGTGAGTGTTTGAATGGCGAAGCTAAATAAATAAATAAAATAAATAAATGATGCCATAATGCAAGTGTCCTATTTTTATCAATCTTATGATATTTGTATCGTAATCCACAGAGGTCACGTGACTCAAGACGCACCAGTGCCAGGCTCCCCACTGTACACCATCAAAGCGTTTATTCCAGCCATCGATTCGTTTGGATTCGAGACAGATTTGAGAACACACACCCAAGGACAAGCCTTCTGTATGTCTGTGTTCCATCACTGGCAGGTAGGTCATTTTCAGCTAACACAGGGAGCCCACATTGAATAACTTTTCAACTAACAAACGTTTCAACAACAGTATTGAATATTTGACATTTACCTTCTTATAGATCGTCCCCGGTGATCCTCTGGATAAAAGCATCACTATTCGCCCTCTTGAACCACAGCCAGCTACTCACCTAGCCAGGGAATTCATGATCAAAACGCGTAGACGAAAGGTACAAAGATAAACGATAACGGGCACAAAGTGACCATCTTGCCGCTCAAAATGAGTGGCTAATCTAAAGGATGGGTCCCATTGCAATCAGTACTTTTCTTTGTTCATGTTTTTTATTCTGTCTTCATCAGGGTCTCAGTGAAGACGTCAGCATTAATAAGTTCTTCGATGACCCTATGTTGCTGGAGTTGGCACGCCAAGATGTCATGTTTAACTACCCCATGTAACACCCAAGCAAATCAAATCAACTATGTATACTCCTGGTTCTCGTAGCCGAATCGTAGTGGTTGACTTTTGCTATGTAAACCAACATACGGCTTTTCTCATTTCATTCTCTTGGGAATGATTACGAACCATCTATAGATTATTTATAGCCCCACCAATGAGATATTCTGTCTTCTACATCTATTAGTAAAGTCTGTTCAAAGCTACATTTAAAGTTAAATTTTGCCTTAGACTTAGTGAGGGCTTCGTGTGAGTGGGAAACGATGCGGGAAATTTGTATTCGTACTTGAGTCATGCCGTATCTTACCGTGGCCGTAACTACGCGTCGTGATTGGATGAATTGCTTGAAAGACAATGGGAAGCCATTTGGATGTTACGGCATGTCGTACCCAGTACGGGCTGCAAGTCAGTACCGTACGTTTGCCATTCATACGATAACCATTCTTATGGGAAGCCATTTCAATGTAACGGAATGTCGTACCGCGTACGTACCCTTCGTTTCCCACACATACGAAAATCGCTTCATTAAAAGGAAAAAATAAAAAATTTTCAATGTAATATTTTAAAACTATACTAAGTTACTTATATAAAACTTGTGAATTTCGATTTCAATTGAAGTTTGGCTACTTGATGGCTAAAACAAGTTTTGATTTACTTTCGTATATTCTTTTGATAGAAGCGACAATATCTCTGCAGTCGAAGCAGTTTTACTGTGCAAACATCATCTAAATCTTGCTGGATATTCTCTTGAACCATATCACTCGCCAAGCCAGTGTGTGTATCTCTCCAAGTAGATCAAATGTAATAGTACAAGACATAACTCTTTCCTAATGTGCCTATCGCATGTYATTTTACATCTACTTTTATAAAATTGTACAAAACGTGAAGTATTGTTCATTGTAATTCATCAGATGATCTTTTTTCCTTTCTTCCCCTCTCTCTCTTTGCTATCGAATATTGCTTAAAGTGGGCCAAAAAAAGGTACGGTGATTTAGGAAGAAAAATGAATGATTGATTCGAGATATGGCAGAAAAAGGCTCTTGAACCATGCCACAATTTTCATATGACAATGGTTAATGCACTTCGATGAGATCAGTACTCGTAGCCATCGGATTACAATTCTTACGAGTAAATTAACACAGAACTTAATCAACATAACTATAACAAAGAAATTGATAATGCGACCATATTGAATTTGCCTCGAACTTTAAAAGACGACCAATTTTTTTACGAATAAATTGAAATGGAACAACATTCTAGTCTGCAACGACTACATACATAAGTGTTGTGTTTGGATTTTTTTCCAGTTTTCTGAGAGGTGACATTGTTTTTGGTATAGTGTCGTGGTTACAGTGGAATTCCTTTGCAATTTGGCGCTCATATTATATTGACTTTAAACGATTTGAAGAGATCAAAGTTGTTTGCTTACTATTGAAGCCTTGATGTCATGGAATGCCGTCTGTACCGTGGGTGGATGTGTAATTGTCATGGTAATTGTCATCTCAGAGTTCCCTGCATTTTGATCTTACAGAGCAAACTTGTATAAAATACTCTCTTTGAACTGAGCTGAGACGCGGGAAAAAGGGTTACTCGTTTTCTCAGCTCTGAAAATGAATTTTTTACTAGTTATTCTTGTGGTACTTGCGTGTTCTGCAAGTGGTAAAGTTCAAAAAAGAGAATCGCAGAGCGACGAAGAACAAGGTGATGGATATCAAGAACAAGGTGAGTAGCAAACAACTTTATGTCCAACTATTTTTCTCTTGCAGATGAGTAGATTTGTACCTTCTCGATCGAATCTGCACCTAAATTTTATTCGTATGTTAGGGATAAGTAGTAGCATGTATGTTACTTGCTTTTAAGAAAATTGTCCAAAGGGTAAGATAGGGTAAGGTTTAAAAATATATTTATTTTCAAAAGCAAAAATATTTTWAAAAAGCAAAACAATTTCTAACATGGTTTTCTTTATTTTCAAACAGATTTCTTGTCGAAGTTTTTATACTATTTTGGTAAAAGTTTATATCTTAATGAAAACGCACCCCTATTGTCGCTGGGAACGTTTCCACGGAGCTTAGAAATTTGAGGCCTGGTCGATGGACTTTAATCTTGCCATACAAATCCGCGCGCATCGCGCCATCATTAAACCCAACCACTMCGTGTAAACATTTTAACTGAGTGCTTCTTAATTGATTTTCGTACAAAAGCTATCCACATAAGTGTCCTAGGCATTGCAATAATTATAGCTACTAACTATTAATGATTGCTAATAAATATCACGAAACATTTGGTGCAAAAGTTTAGCACTGCATGGGTAAAAAGTTGGGAATGTTCAAAATTAAACTAACCAATTGCATTTGAGGAAATATCAGTGATTCGGTATAAGATTCAAGTGTTAATACTTGAAAAACAAATGCTTTACTATCATCTAAAATAATTTTTCACAAAATGATATGCTTGCGTTTTGATTTTAAAAAACTCTGCAGTTTGAATCGCATATTTTGAACTTTCTTGCCCGAAGTAGACAAAGGGATTGGTTATTTTATATTTAATTTAAAGTTGTAATATTGCATGATAACATCATTTCACCCACAGGTGGGCAAGGTAATGCATATTGTAATGCCTAGCTAGAGTCTTCCTTCTGAGTCTATGTGTTGTTTCCTTTCAACAGTTAAAAGCTGTCCAGCTCTTCATTTTGGAGCAGGAGTGACCGTAGATCCCCCATCATGTGCAGATGGTCCAAGACCTAGTGGAACACTATGCCACTTCTCCTGTAGTCGAGGCTACAGGGTGCAGGGCCCTCCCATGTCAGTATGCCACGATGATGGCTCCTGGCTTTATGGACACAGGCAGATYAACTGTTTGGGTAAAAAACTGATTTCACTCTTGTCTTTCTCTCCGTCCTTCCTTTCCTCTCCAATTATTCCTCGATGTCTCCCTCATTCCCTTGCTGGCTGGCTGGCTGGCTGCTGGCTGGCATTGAACATGCAAGGTTTAGCTATCTTTAGTCCCTCCCGCCCCTTTTTGTATATTCACTGACAGCTATCTAGCGGTTATTGATTTTTTCCCCAGATATAAATGAGTGTAAATTCAGAAAAGGAGGCTGCAGTCACACTTGTGTCAACACAGATGGAGGGTTCTATTGCAAGTGTCCTCATCCACTGGTGCTGGACAAAGACGGCAAGAACTGCAGAGGTAATGATGATGATGATGATAATGATGATGACGATGACGATGACGATGACGATGACGATGACGATGACGATGACGATGATGATGATGATGGTGATGACGATTAGGATGATGATGGACTCATGATTACAAATGAGTAGAGCTCTCCAGTGTTTCGAGGGTGATTTCTCGCTTTTCCCCAGTTTTCCTCTTTCTAAATTCCTTACGCTCATAAAACAGGGCGGGCCACATACTTTCAAGCCGTATCAAGTGCAACACTGTATTTTTTACACAAAATTAATCCGACTACTTTCTTGTAATGATGAAAGGGTAAATATTACACCGTGAAAAGATGAAAAAAACTTACTGACGTTTCGGACACTAGTCCTTCGTCGGAGTAAAAGAGATTTGTCCGAAACGTCAGTAAGTTTTTTCATCTTTTCACGGYGYATAATTTACCCTTTTATCATTACTGTTTCATTAGAAACACCGACACAGCTCACACTAGTTTTTAGCTAGTTATCTCTAGCTTCTTTCGACTACTTTCTTAGCTTTTCTTCGYTGTGTTTTTAAACAGCTGTCGGGCTGGTCCTGAACTGCACTGCACAGAACATTGAGATCATCATTCCTAAATACGCCTTGAGTGACCTCCAAGGTGACTACCTTCAACTTCGTGACCCGTCCTGCCAACCACGTGAAAATAGAACACATTACATCTTCAACACCGAGCTGAATGGCTGTGGAACTACTCGACGTCACACCAAAAACTTTATCGTGTACAGCAATAGAGTCACGGAGAAAGCTGTCGCACGACATGGTCTCATTACTCGTGTGGGAGAAGGGGAGTTCAATATTCCATTCTGTTGCTATTTCCTGGATAATGGAATCGTCTCTTCTGTTGGTTACAAGCCTTTGGTGAAMGAGCTTGTCCTGAAAGAGAAAGGGTATGTTAAGGGTGAAAAATTTCCTCCGATACTTTATGGTTTCTGAATACGTTATTTCCTTGAGTATTATTTCTTTATTTTCTTGTTTGCTACTTACAATATTTATAGTGACTGAGTGCGCGCAATTTCCCATTTCAGAGCACGTGTTAATAACTCCCTTGAGAATTATTTCTTTCTTAAGCTGTGCATTTACTTTGAAAATTTACTTCTGTTAAAGAAGCTGCTACATTTATTTCCAAATAAGTCGTAATTAAAATGCATTAGCATCATACTACAACAAACTTTACATTCAATAAAATCATAATCTTGTAAATCCGTGACATTTTTATAAAGTTAAAAATATGTTATTATTGCGGGTCGTATCTACGACTCTTTTGAATAAATGGACAACGATACTTTCTGGAACTGCTATATATTTCCCTTTCAAGACTGAGCTCTATATATATAATGCTCGACTATTAAAGTATGTATCTTTTCTCTGTATATAGTTACAAAATGATTGAATTTCACTCTTGTGTCACAATCTAGTTTCGTATCTCACATTATTTTACAAATGAAATGTTCCATCATTCCTCTAGGTATGGCAAGTTTAAGCTACGTATGGACTTTTTCCGTACCAAGAACTACCAAACCGAATACACCTGGGATGATTTCCCTGTTTCTGTGTATCTGAGAGAGAGGCTTTACTTTGAAGTTTCCATCGATTCTATCGATGACAGTCTTGTGGTGTTTGCTGGGAACTGTTGCGCAACACCAACACGTGACCACAACAAGGCGGGACGATTCCGACACGAACTCATCCATGAAGGGTAAGATTGTTCACGATATAAGCCATTTATCTTGCTTTGGTTCTCCCTAGCTGGGGATATAAACCATAGCTTAGTTTGGAGAACAAAGCAATTGAACCAATAGAAATTTACTATCATGTGACTAATTAAAGCTCATAGTTCTCAGCACCAAAGGACATACTTACAACATTTGAAACACACTGATAGTTTTTCTATCTTTTTCTACTTTAAGGTGTATTGTGGACTCTACTACACAAAGAGAACCCTCGCCCTCCCCCCACAAGCAGCGTTTCTCCGTTGAAGCCTTCAAATTCGTTGGCAAATTCCCATTTGTCTATATGCATTGTAGTGTAATTGTCTGTAAGGCTGGTGACCCGAACTCACGGTGCTCCAAGGGATGTATTCCTGGGATTCACCGCGGGAAACCAATGAACGGACCTTACGCAAAGCGAAATGACATTCCTAAATCACATGACACACCTAACACATCCAATAAGAAATCCCCAATCCCAGAATCACGTGACGCGCCTGAGATACCCAATAAGGATGTACAAAAGAAAGCACCAATCAGACACAACCGATCTATCGAGAAGCATGGTCACGTGTTGGTCAAGAAAGAGAAGGATCATAAGTATCTCTTGTCTAAGGGTCCTGTCTCATTATTGGAAGAAGAACCTGAGGTAGAGCGAGCAGCAGACGATGAAAAAATACCTGAAACCAAGCTGTCAGAAGATGTGGAAGAAGCTGATGAAAACCTTGGAAACAAAAAGAGTAAGAGCGGCGAAGAGCAGAAAGGTAGACACAAATAGGTGTAGCCCTGGTTACGTCACTTTCTTAGTTACCGTTGCTAGGGATCGAAAACCATTGTTTTCCTGAAAAACAGGTTTTGCTGGGATCAAATTTTTAAACCAACTAGTTTGTCTGAGATGACACTTTGTATATGGACCATTTGAGAGACGTGTCATTCCCTTGAATAATATTCCTTTGTTTAGTAATAACTCTTGAACAGATGAGTTCCCCGAATAGACCCCTATCATGTGACGTCAAAGCAGCTCAAGTTGGAGGACAAGCGCAAAGAATTTCAATCTCCTGAGAATTGGAAACCTATTGTTATGTCCTCCTATTAAGCTGCATTCCGACGTGCAACAAGGGGTCTATACTCTTAGTTGTCACGTAGCCCAACCGTTACTTTTCCTTTTCTTGCATTGCCTCCATGTTGGTGGAATTTTAGAGATTTGTCTGTTGGTACCACCAACATGGCCGCCATGCCTTTGTCTTAGAAACTGCGTTTTCCTGGTAATGGTTGCGAACTATTGTTTGCTTTTTCTTTCAGCTGCAAGTACGACCACTATTTTGCTGATTGCACTGACAGCCTTCACCGTTCTAGCATTACTAGGGGTACTGTATATTGGACGTAAAGTCAAGCAAGCTTCAAATAGAGGTCTTTACGATTACAAGCCAATGAAGTCCTGAAACGACCAGCTTTTCATTACCCAATAATCTTTATTAAATAGGGTGAAATTTCTTTTTATTTTTGGTTTCTTCTATCATAATTTGTAATGCCAATCGATTTACTCATGTTAATGTTGTTCCATATTTAAGACCACATGATCATTCCCTTGTATAAGCATTAGCTGGTTTTCAATCATTCCCAAGAGAATGAAATAACACAAGACACGGCGGCCATGTTGGATGATACAACAAAAGAGACTGATGACGAATCTTGTGTTAATTCCTCCAACATGGCGGCTGTGAAACCATCAATATCTTTCTTAAGGAATCTGAAGTAATCTTGTATTCCATTCCCAAACAAACATATTAGACATAGGTTATTACCATTCTCGGCTGAACATTCTTGTGTGTATCTAGCTTATACCTATGTCAATTGTTGAGTAAACTATAACTGTTTTTAGAAAAAGAAATAAACTCGTCCCTGGAATGTGTTTTCCATGCGTACGATAGACGCATTTTGCTATCGATTCTGAAAGAAATTAAAGCCACTTACTTTTACTATGGCGAGCACTAATCTAACCTAATTAAAACAGATGACGAGGTGTTAGAAAACTCCCTGCCTTATAATATGAAAAGTTTTTGGACCAAATCTTTCATAGTCAGGGGATCCACCCATACAAATGTCTTTTTTTTCCTTTTTCTTTCATGATTTTTCTACATTGCTTTGAGAGGGACTTTAGGCACCCAATCTATCTATCATCGCGATGGAAGGTGTTTGCTTTAATTTATAAAGGCTTTTAAAAATCGGTAAATTTGAATTCTCGATCCCACAAATTAATCTTGACATGGCTTATGATCGAGTGGGAGTGCTCTAATATGAACGAAAACTGCTTATGATTCGGGCAAATAAAAACGTAATCCATTAGATATATCTTAGGAAAATCAATTAAGACTTGAACCTCCAAGGACGTGAAGTAAACCCTCTTAGGAAAAACATAAAAAATTGTGTAATAAGGGCGACAAAACTCATGTATTTTACCGCACATCAACAGCGAATGTTGCTCTAAAAACAGCTCCGGGAGCTAGAGTCTTTTGCAGATATCTTTGTCGTGTCATACGAAAATCTAACTTGTTGCGCGCAGAGTTCTACGAATTATACGACCAACATTCGCTCTGCAATGCAACAATGGCGCCTTTCTTGTGTATAAAATTCATCTTATACAAATGCATGATTCATTCTTTTCATTTTATGTTAAATCAATATACTTTTATGCTTTCGGTGTCTTTACTTTAACCCTTGTGTATATTTGTTTCGGCATCTGTATATTTGTTTCGGCATCGGCATTTGAATTTTGAGAAATTTTATTGCGACAATTAATGATGGTATGCATATAATATAGCATCTTTGCAACACGAAAATCTCTCAGAATGCTTGCTTCAAATTATACTTAACGAAACCGATCCTAATCATTGACTTTTAGTCAAATAAATAATTAAATAAGAATTTACGGTTTGATTTAATGAAGCTAATGAAGACATAGAACAGAAAAAAGCCTTCAAATTCCTGTGCATTGTGAAGATATATTTACAGTATTTTCTGGCTTGTTTTGAAGCCATTGGCAAGTGAAAAGAAGTTGCTCTTGTCATCAAAGCCACAAAAAGTGTAATTTTACTTAACTCAAAAGTTATGTTGATTTTAACTTCTATGGAATTTCATGTGTGAAGTTAAACTCCTTGCAAAGGTGTTTGTATATCTAGACATTGAATGGCTTTAATGTACGTTTTGCTTACTTTGGAATAAAGACTTTATGCACTAGGACTTTTAATATTCCTCTCTTATTACGTGGGTGCTGCATTGTCATGGAAATAAAAAAATGTCTAGCTAAAATATGCAAAGTTTACTTTTAAAAACTTGAGTTTTATTGACAGGCTTGTAAAGTTTACCAAGAGAAAGTAAGCTTGCTTTCTCTGGCGGAATTTCCTTCAAAATGATGTTGTTTTGGATTCTAGCGTTGGTTATTCCATCCTTAAATGCACAAGATATAGATTATATAGATAAAGGTATGTCATATCTTCTCAAAAATGATGTTTTTACAAATTCCACAGTGCGGACATCAGTAAATTTGTATACGAAACTTGTTTTTTTAATATCAACGTTTTCGCTCGAATAATTTTTTTCTTTCTTTCTCTCTTCAGTTGATCGTAACTTTTTTATAAATTCCATTATATGTATTTTTTCCGAAATCATCACCCAACCCTTAATAGTCTAATGCCGCAATAATTCACAACTAATAAGCTTCAATACTAAGGTATTTTAAAGTTCTTAGATGCTGCACGGATTTTTCATTTTTAACTTTCAACTACTATGTTCTAGGCTATTGTTTCTTGTAAACGAAAAGAAGACAAACTGCATATCCGAAGCAACCAGGCGAAGTTTATACCGCCGGCGCTAGCTGTTTTAACTTTCCCGCGGGACAGGGACTGTTACTAAATTCCGGTTGAGCTCTCCATACAAATAGTCTTTTTTCCTCTTTCTCTTAGTTTTAAGCTGAAATAACGGATTTTTCGATATTTTGGTTGCTCTCTCAACAGCCTTCAAGCATTAAAACAATGAGAAAAAATATTTCAAAATTTTTCATGGCCTAATATCGCCATTTTTCAAATTAATATTTGTAATCTTTGAAAAGTTTACCAAGCGACTGAGCTATGTTGTATGAATTATTATATGTGATAAAAACTAAATCCTTACAGCCTTAATTAGAGTAAAGATAAGTTCCTTATTTTGCTAACAAAATGCTCAACAGCACCTTTTCAAGATGGTAGATTCACATATTTTAAAAAAAAAAAAAAAAACAGTTTTGCATGTCTGCTACTCTGTGCATGTTTGACTGAACAGCGACGACTCGTCAAATAGTTTTCCTGCCACGATGCAAATGATTACTTATCTGCTAGGAGATTCTCAATATTCTTTATTTTGAGAAATATCAATTTTATATTTATAAAACAAAATCCCTATTCTAGCTCTATTTAATTTGTTTCAGCGAGAAAAATTAAATATTTAGAATAAAGTAACCTGGAACAAATAGCGTGTCATTTCTAAGCTTCGAAGGTTTTTGATAACTTCGTTCCTGTTTCTCTTGGATCTTAAGTAGAATTCTGTGACTTGGTTCACTGAAGCAATGAAAATTTTAGCTGTTTGCAAATGACTGAGAAGTTTATAAATTATAAATTTATGATGGTCGTACAAGACCTTGACTCTTGATGCACGTGATATGGTTAAATACTAACCGTGGGGTTGGGGATGGGGAAGATTTGTTGCTGTCCCTACGTTCGTGCTGTTCTGCTATGATGTTTTCCCTACTTTTTTGAGGTAATATATAACTTTTGTTTTATTATATTTTTATTTGATTTTTGTCAACCCAGTTTGTCCACCTCTCCGCGTGGCATCAGGAGTATCTGTCGTCCCACCAACGTGCACACATGACAAGATGCGCGCAGGTATAGTCTGCTCCTTCTCCTGTAACAATGGTTACCGTGTCCATGGACCACCAGTCAAGGAGTGTACTGACGGAGGTACCTGGACAGACGACCATATGAATATTTCTTGCACAGGTCAGTTCAATGATTATCAAGGAACATACACCTTGATGTTTTTCAGACGCATCCCACATGGAAGAGAGTGACTATGGGTGCTAAGCCCTCAGCGACACAAGCAAAATAGCGGGTCTGCTGGTCATAGCAAGGGGTTAATCATCTACGGTCTAGGGGCCGACTAACCTCTCCCTTAGGCTTCGGCTGAGCTTCCTGATCAGTCTGTAAATCCAGGGATAGCGGTGTCGGGGCCGAAATTTCCGGCGTAGCCGTAAATGCTTCGCGCTGCTATACGACGGTTCAGCACTAGATGTCTGGAAGTATGGTCCTTACAAATAAATCAAGTTAAAAAACACAATCTTTCTAGCAGCTGAAGAGTTTTCTATGAATAAGTTTGAAAACGACATAAGAAATCTCAGATGTGCATGATAGCTTTTTCGAGTTGCCTTTGCTCAGTCTTAGCCTCGTACAAATGTTTTCTTTTATTAAGGTACATTGTATAGTAAGTAATGTACGTACTACGGAAGAATACGAGTTGATTAAAATGCTACGGATTTTAATGGAATAGCTGAATATTATAAGGCACAACCGAGACTAATTCTCCCGGGCTAATTCTGAACAAAGAGAACTCGAAACTGGATGATTCAATTGAATGGATACCAGAAAGATCCATGATATGTTTTTTTCTTTTTCTGCTTTGTAGACATGAATGAATGTAGGATCAGGAACGGAGGATGTAGTCACACATGCATCAATACAGTTGGCAGTTACAGGTGCGAGTGTCCTTCACATCTCAAGCTACACGAGGATGGGAAAAGCTGTAAAGGTATGAATATTATAAATAGGATGGTGCGCGTAATCTCGTACCCAGAGCCTGCGTTTCTTCTGGCCTGCGGTGAAGAACGAGTGCTCTGGCATAATCCATTCATTGAGACCAGGATTTCTTGGACTTCCGGTACAAAAGCGCATGCGTTCAAAGACTTGCCAAAAATAAAAAAGTATGTTCCCGATTTCTAATTTTTATTTTGATCGGAAGTAAACACAAACTCTGTCTTCAAAATGGATTATAATTATGCCAGAGCCCTCGTTCTTCGCCGCAGACCAGAATAAACGTAGGCTTCGCCGCAAACCAGAATAAACGCAGGCTCTGGGTACGAGATTGTGGTATGCGCTACTGATGCGCCGCCTCAACTTCTAAATTCTAATTGGAATCTAGTGGAAGAAGAGCGACCCTGTGGAATCCACTGTTAATCCCATTATTTATTTGTTTACTTATTCATTTGTTTATTATTATTTTTTCCACAGCCGAAGGTTTGAAACTGAACTGCGGAGCCAAAGAGATGAGCATTGTTATCCCGAAGAACATCATTCATAACCTTCACCACGAGCACCTTCGTTTGAATGACCCTTCCTGTGTCGCTACATCCAATGGATCCCACTATATACTGAGCACCAAGCTGACTGGATGTGGAACGACCTCGAGGCAGATCAAAAGCTATATTGTCTACAGCAATAAGGTTAAAAAATTAGATAAGAATAGAAAAACAAACAAACAAAAACCAAACCAAACCAAACCAAACCAAACCAAACCAAACCAAACCAAAAACAGGATTCAGAATAAC